TCAAAGAGATCCAACTATTCTCTTGTTTAATATCTTCAGAACACCATCAGACATGAATTTCTCTGTTATAACTTTTGAAGTGTGTGGAGGAAAGGAGCTGGGATACAGCTAGACTGAGCTGTACTATGCACAGATCTAAGGTACCCAACAAATGAGACACAAAACAGATCTCATAGATCTTGCCTGGGCACACCTGAGATAAAAGTTTAAGGTACAAATGATAACATACAAAGCAAAGGAAGAAAAATAAGCACTCTTTTCAGATACATAAGAAACAATCAAAGGGCAAACTGAAATGGACTTAGTCCTAAACTTTACTCTAAATGACAGTCAATGGTCTACAAGAGCGCAGTAGTTTTTAATTGAACTTCCTAATATTTCCTATAGTTGGTCAGATATGTTTACCTTACTATCCATCCTACCACTTTCTAAATGGCTTCTGTAGATGAAGAAAATGAAGACAAGAACGAAAACAAGATTAAGATTAAAATAAGAATGAGTAAATTTCAGATTGGATGTCCTGAAAGAAAGATAGCTACAAAAGATTTTAGGCACCTCATCACTGACAATCACAATCTCAGGCTAACACAAGTGAAATTTATAACAACATGAATGAAACAAAAACATATTCCACCAAATTTACACTGATTCTGTTTATTTTAGTGGCTAAGTGCTCACCATTTACCTAAACTAAATCATGAGAGAACAGTCAAATAGTTAATTTTAACTGTGTTTTTCTATTTAACTGTATTTAATTCTGTTCATGCTTTCAGTTGTGTTTTAGACAGTATTAAATGAATTTCACCTCTAAGAAGCACCACAGAATTTCTTTGCCCACACTCCCCCACCCTCCACTTACTTTCAAGGTCATTCATGACCATATCATTTGGCTGCTTCTCATATACCCAAATGCAAGATTCTGTAAAGACAGTGGTACGCTTTTGTATAAAGGAATAGGGTAGGTCCCTTAAGTTTCAATTTCAATTTAAAAATAAGCCCAGAAATACTTTCCCCAAACAGAAGGTCAGAGAACAAAAACATCTGTGTAAAATACATGCGTACAAAACTGTGTGTGTATGTATGTATACAGTAATTGCATAAACCAAATACCATCTTCCTAAATGTGTAAAAATATGCTTATCCTTTTCAGAAGTGTCTCAAAGGATTGGGGGATTGAGCTAGATGACCTTTAAAGGTACCTTACAACCCAAACAATTCCGTGAAGGAATACATCCATTTTCAAACATAACAGGTGCAAGTTATTTCAGGATAATGATACGGCATTCAAATTTTAAATATTAACAAATTTTTTCTTTAATCCAAATGTCCTAAACATACTGAGGAAGACAAATTTCTGCAAGTTTTTATTAAAAAATTACAGGGAAAAACATAAAACAAGATGTAAAACAATCACCCTGGAGAGCCTACAGCATCACTATCGCTACTTCCTTCTTGAATAAGAAGGATGATTCAGAGTCAGACTTTGGTTTTTAGTTTACTCCTATGACTGCTCTGTTCCACAGACTGTTCTCTTAACCGCTTAGTATTTTCTGATACTCTGTACAACCTCAGTATTGGAGAACATTACTATGTCAAAGTAGTTCAAGTACTGTATGTCTTTTTTTTTCACCCTTATTCAACTTAAAAAAGAATTTTCTTTTCCAAAAAAATTCTCTGTATTTAAAACTTGAAACACTTACTCAGAAGTATTAATTATATAAAATAGCTACTAAATGCTAAACAGAGTATGTAGAAAACCATTATTTTCTCTTGTATAATATGTGGAAATAAGATGACAAACTCATCTGGTGAAGTTCTAGAAGATGTATATAAGAAGATTATACACAATTCAGGAAATTGTAATTATCAATTAAAATATTGCACACATTTTCTGAAAATACAGGTAGTTATAAAATTACACATTATAAAATAGGTAATACTTATTTGATGTGTAATTAGGAGCAGTATCTCACAGCCTCTTTTGATTCTGGACATGAGCAATCCAGTAGAATTGTATTTTCTTTACATCAGTTACGAAGTTCGATCATCTGCTCTTAGTGGCCAAAGATTTATTTGTTTAATCGAAGTACCAAGACACTACCCATCATATTTGAGAAGTGTGGCAGTCCACTCAAGTTCCCACTGACTGGAAAAGGGGAAACATAACCCCCATTTTTAAAAGGGGAAAAAAGGAAGACCCAGGGAACCACAGGCCAGTCAGTCTCATATCTGTGCCTGGCAAGATCATGGAGCAGTTCCTCCTGGAAACCACGCTAAGGCATGCGGAAAATAAGGAGATGATTGGTGAACAGCCAACATGACTTCACTAAGGGCAAATCATGCCTGACAAATTTTTTGGCCTTCTATGATGGGGTTACAGCATTGGTGGATAAGGGAAGAGCAACTGATGTCAACTACCTGGACTTATGCAAAGCATTTGACACTTTCACATGACATCTTTGTCTCTAAATTGGAGACATGGATTTGATGGAAGGACTACTTGGCGGATAAGGAATTGGCTAGGTGGTCTCACTCAAAGAGTTGCAGTCAAGAGTTGGAGACACAGACAGTGGGATTGAGTGCACTCTCACCAAGTTTGCTGACAACACCAAGCTGTCTGGTGCAGTTGACATGCTGGAGGGAAGGGATGCCATCCAGAGGAACCCTGACAGGCTTGAGAGGTGGGCCTATGCAAATCTCATGAAGTTCAATAAGGCCAAGTGTAAGGTGCTGCACATGCATCAGAGTAATCTGAAGCACAGTTACAGGCGGGGTGGAGAATGCATTGAAAGCAGCCCTGAGAAGGACTTGGGGGTGCCAGCTGATGAGAGGCTCAACATGACTCAAAAACATGCGCTTGCAGCCCAGAAAGCCAACCGTATCCTGAGCTGCATCAAAAGAAGTGTGGCCATCAGGTCAAAGGAGGTCATTCTCCCCCTCTACTCAGCTCTCTTGAGACTCCACCTGGAGCACTGTGTCCAGCTCTGGAGCCCTCAGCACATGAACATCGACCTGTTGGACTGGGTCCAGAAGAGAGCCATGAAGATGATCAGAGGGATGGAGCACCCCGCCTATGAAGAGAGGCTGAGGGAGTTGGGGTTCTTCACCCTGGAGAAAAGAAGGCTCTGGGGAGACCTTCTTGCAGCCTTCCACTACCTAAGAGTGGGCCTACAAGAAAGCTGGATAGGGACGTTTTACAAGGGCATGTAGTGATAGGACAAGGGTCATGGCTTTCAACTGAAAGAGGGTAGATTTCAACTAGATATAAGGAAAAAATTCTTCACTATGAGAGTGGTGAGGCACTGTCACAAGTTGCCCAGAGAAGCTGTGGATGCCCCATCTCTGGGGTGTTCAAGTCCAGGCTGGATGGGGCTTTGAGCAACCTGGTCTAGTGGAAAGTGTCCCTACCCATGGCAGGGGGGTTGGAATGAGGTGATTATTAAGGTCCCTTCCAACACAAACTATTCTATGATTCTATGTTCAGTAAGCATGAACTGAGAAGACCACATTTCCTTTTTCCTTCAATATTCCAAATATTGCCAAATTGAACTATGGAAAATAGAAGAGTCACTGATTTAGAAACTATCTACTGCTGTACCATCAATAAATGTGTAATCATATCAAACTGAACAGTCCTATTGATAGCATCTACAGAAAAATAATTATTGACAGAGGAAAATCTGTCACCTTTAGGGTATGATGCAATAGGAAGCTAATGGTTTTCAGCCCTACACTATAATTTAGGATAGACCACTAAATGTTTTATCAATAACTGGAACTGTGAGGAGAGTTTGGGAAGTAAATATTGACATACCTAAATGTCAATTTAAGCTAAGGACACATAATAGGTAATAATGCAAATTTTACTGTTATATGCCACATAATCTTAAATACCGGGAAGATAAAAATGTGACTTCAAGAAACATTGCAACATACTCACAGCAGTGTATCTGGTACCATGGAAAAGTCAGGTGATTTGGGGATAGGGCAAAAGACTTGGAATAAATTTTTTGAACTCCACCCCAGATCAGTAAGACAACAGGCTGAAAATCCTCAAGTTAAGTGCTGCTTTGCCCTTATTTTCATTTCGACTTACCCACTCCATGTTCTAAACCTGCTATTCATCTTGGCCTAATGGTACTAGCAATACTCAACATTTCCAGGGATCTCTTTCAAAATAGCTTTCCAGATTGTGCTGGTTTTGGCTGGGGTAGAGTTAATTTTTCTCATAGTAGCTACTATGGGGCTATGCTTTGGATTTGTGTTGGAAACAGTGTTGATAACACAGGCATGTTTTTATTGCTGAGTACTCCTTACACAGAGTCAAGGACTTTTCTGCTTCTCACACCACCCCACCAGTGAGTAGGCTGCAGATGCACAAGAAGTTGGGATGTGACACAGCTGGCACTGCTGACCCCAACAGGCCAAAAGAGCTATTCCATACCACATGACATCATGCTCAGCAATGAAACTAGGGAGAAGGGACTAGCTGGTCAGGGACTGGCTGGGCATCAGTCGGTGATGAGCAATTGTTTTCATTTGCATCACTTGTATTTCTTGGGTTTTATTTCTCTCTGTTATTTTTTCTTTTCATTACAATTTTATTATTTATTATGATGATGAGGATATTCTTATTCTTATTCTTATTCTTCTTATTATAAACTTATCTCAACCCACAAATTTTCTCACTTTTCTCACCTTTCCCTTCCAATTCTCTTACCCCCATCCCACTGCGGGGAGAGTGAGCGAGAGGCTCTGTGCTGCTTAGTAACCAGCTGGGGTTAAACCATGACACAGATCTAAGGCACAAATTAATACTATCTGATAGCTTCTATTTCCTCTTCCTTAGGATTATGAAAAATGATATTTTACGTCAAAACCAAAAACATTATGTTGTATTTCTCTAATATATCAATTTCCATTTATGGACCAAATTCAAAGGAGATGTGTGATTTTTATCAGTCAACAAAGAAAATAGGGCACTGTGGACAAATACTCACTGTAATGTTATCCAAGAGTTTGGCCATATGCTTAATAATTTCACCATGATGTGCCGGTTGGGTTTGCAGCAGTTTCTTGATGACAACAACGCTTTCAGCAACTACAATTTCTGTTTAAGACAAAACAAATTATTAATTTTGAAAGCATTTATGCAACACCCCCCCCAAACAATTGATTGTAAAAGATATTATCAACTTTCAAAATACGCTTTGCAGAACTGAATTCTATTTACTTGGTAACAAAATGTAAACCATCCTACTACAAGTTCAGCTTCCAGAAACAAGTTATAAGCAGCAACAAGAGGACAGAGAAATGCCCTAAACGTAAAAATATAATCCTATTACACACTTTTTTTGAAATTGCCTTTTAGTAAAGCTGTACTTTGTATTTTTCCTTTTCAAATTGAGGAACACCATGAAAAAATATCTGTTTTTCATTGAAATTATTTATATTCATAAGTAATTTGCTGTCTGCATTAAAAATACAAACTCTTTAATTTTCAAAGAAATATGTAATGTTAAAGGTAACAGCTCATTCATAAACAAGAGAAGTATCTAAACATTTCCTTTGCACTTTTTCACCTTCTAAATGTTCTCTCTCAGGTCTGTAACCTAATGTCTAGTACCTTCAGATGAAGATTCTAAATAGCAAGCTGTTGTGAGATTTATGCCAAAGTTATGCATTGGAGTGCTTAACTACTGTAACAAGTAACATTCACAGCCTGATCAACTTGTATGAAATGTACAATTCTTGAAGCTGAAAAAAACCACTGGTGCAGGGGTAAGCTTCTATGCAAGAGTAAACTCATGCTGTAAGGAAAGATGAAGGAGAGTCAAATACAGCCAAAGCTGAAAGCAAAACAAAGACTACTGTAAGAGTTCAACAGAATTCTAATTATCATTCATATTACAAAACAGGAGTAACTATTTCTCCTAAACTATTAATGTTTAAAACAAAGAAAAGCCGAACTATCGTTTGTTAAACATCACAGAGGTATTCCTACATTCCAAGAGTTAATCTGACACATGGACCATTCATTCAGCAATGAAGCAAACTGAAGTTTCAAAAGAACAGTATGGGGAAGAGATCTCTAATTTTTTTTTTTTTAAAAGCAAACTTTTTTATGCAGAAATGCTTTTCAAAAACTCTTGAGTATGCATCATTATGCCATAAGCCTCTGAAAAGCTTAAATTTTAGCTTGCAGCTTTTTGTGTCATCCTTTATTTGACATGACATGTCTCTCATTTTTCTAGACTAATTTCTTGTAGCAAGGTTAACATGTTTACTTCACATATCTCAAGGTCTTGCACAATCCTACAGAATCAATTTAATTTAGATTGTGTTTTGCCAGATATCAAAACAAGATGACAATTCTCAAAATTTTAAAAATACAATCTGAAATATTTAGAGTAGGGGACATTGCAATGACAAAGTTCATCACTGAGTGTTTTCTGATACTACTCAACATGGAGGTTAAGCAAAATAAAACTGAACCCAAAAAACTGAGTGGACATCAAGTCATTAAAAACCTGTGTTTACAATGTAGAAGTGATCATGACAAAATGAAGTACACTAGATGAAGTGTCACCATAGGAACTACTTTAATGCAATCGGTGGGAGCAAATTTAAAGAACTGAACCAGAATTGTAAGCAAGTAAACTAAACAAAAGCAAAATTAATTTCTATTAGAATAAGGACAGACATATTCCAGAAAAAAAAAAAGCGGTTCTTTGAGGCTTGCTTTGTGCATATGAAGAATCCCAAAAATGAGCATGAAATAAAAGACAGACATTTAGGTTTAAAGACAAAAGGAAAAAACACACCAAAAGGGGGAGATAAAATTGGCATTCTGAATGAGCAGTAAGAAAATTTAAAAACGTAACTCTGCTAGATTTAGCAAAGAAAAACCACACACAAGGCAACGATAAATAAATGCAAGAATTTCAAAACAGAGTGTAAGTTTACAGTATATCTAAAGGGTCATAAAAAGTAAATCAAATTCTTAAAATAAAGACTAAATATGACAGAAAATCTGATCAGGAATTCTTTTACCAATAAAGGAGACTACAAGAGGTATCACCAATTTCAATTTTCACAAGTGATAGTAAAAATCTTAGTATAATGTTCATTGCTGATTTTTTTTCAGCAATATGGAAACGACTACTCTGAGTAGGATAATCTCTGGAGACCCTGGAGCATGACAACTTCTCAAAAACCTAAAATATATTCAGTCATATAATGTTCCACTTTGCCAAATCATGATGTACATAAAAAAAATAACAATCTAGTTGACAGTAACTTGTGGGGACTGAATTACAGACTTTTTCATAATTGAGAATTTGGCCACATTAGAACAGAAACTCAGAAAGAGACCTTAAAAAGGAGTGTATTACAAGAGAACATACAAAAGGTGCATTCTAAATTCTAAATTGGAGAGATATGGATTTGATGGGTGGACTGTTCAGTGGATAAGGAATTGGTTGGATGGCTGCATCCAGAGGATAGTGGTCAACAGCTCAATGTCAAGATGGAGATCTGTGATGAGTGCTGTCCCTCGGGGATCCGTATTGGGACCAGTATTGTTTAAGATTTTCATCAGTGACATAGACAGTGGGATCAAGCGCACCCTCAGCAAGTTTGCGGATGACACCAAGCTGAGTGGTGTGGTTGACACGTCTGAGGGACAGGATGCCATCCAGAAGGACCTGGACAAACTCAAAAAGTGGGCCTGTGTGAACCTCATGAGGTTCAACAAGGCCAAGTGCAGGGTCCTGCATCTGTTTTGGGACAACTCCTGGTATCAGTACCGGCTGGGGGATGAAATGATTGAGGGCAGCCCTGCCCAGAAGGGTTTGGGGGTATTGGTGGATGAAGAGCTGGACATGAGCCAGCAATGGGCACTCACAAACCAAGAGGCCAACTGTACCCTGGGCTGCACCAAAAAAAAAGTGGTCAGCAGGTCGAGGAAGGGGATTCTGCCCCTCTATTCCACTCTTGTGAGACCCCATCTGGAGTCCTGCATCCAGCTCTGGAGCCCTCAGCACAGGAAAGACATGGACCTGTTGGAGTGGGTCCAGAGGAGGGCCAGAAAAATGATCAGAGGGATGGAACACCTCTTCTATGAGGACAGGCTGAGAGGGTGGGGTTGTTCAGCCTGGAGAAGACAAGGCTCCAGGGAGACCTTATGGCAGCCTGCCAGGACTTAAAGGGGGCTTATGAGAAAGATGGGGACAGACTTTTTAGCAGGGCCTGTTGTGACAGGACAAGGGGTGAACAAAAAGAGGGCAGACTGGGACAAGAAGGAAGATATTTTTCACACTGAGGGTGGTGAAACACTGGCACAGGTTGCCCAGAGAAGTGGTAGATGCCCCATCCCTGGAAACATTCCAGGTCAGGTTGGACAGGGCTCTGAGCAACCTGATCTAGTGGAAGATGTCCCTGCTTATTGCAGGGGGGTTGGACTAGATGACTGTTAAAGGTCATCTTGTCCCTTCCAACCCAAACCATTCTATGATTATTTGGGTTATTAGAAGGTTATGCCAATGGTTAAAACTAAAGTCAAAAGGCAATTATTAGAGCTAAATATCCAGACAAACATTACGTTTCTGCTTTTCAAAACTGCCTGAAATCTAAGCTTTTCCCTGGTTAATTTTTCCATCCTTATAAATAACAGAACTCTGAAACCACATTAATACATATAAACTGAATGCTACAAGGAGTTTGTTTTCTTTTGTGTCATTCTAACAGTAATTCCAATAGATAGGTAGTAGTTACCTGATACATTAACTGTTCCAGTGATTTTATGACTTGCCTGTTCAAATTTGTATAGATTGGTAAGACAAAAAATGTTTTAGCTATGCATCCTACAATTGTGTTTACATTCTCTATTATCCATAACCTGCAATGTTCAACAGAAAATGAAAGTCACCCATCTGAGAATAACCTGCAGGATCTCTAATATATGCAGTATAGACAGACAAAAGAGACTTCCTATAATCCCATCTGTCTCACATCTAAAAATTACTTCTATGTCGTAGTGGGGCCAGTGGTCAGCAGACAAGGAAGGAAAATAATTCTCAGCTCTCAATATGGCTGCCAGAAAAAAGGCTCTGGTGAAGTGAAGAACTGCTCCTGAAATTTTCTTTGCATATTTGAGTGCTTTGTTTCAAGTCAAATTTCCCCTACTCAGGGAAGCTGGGGGCTATGGTTAAAAAAACCCAACACATTTGAATCACAGAAGTACATACAGAAACTAGAAAGTTCAATGATGAGACATTAAACTCTGTGAAGAGTTACACCAGCTGGAGCTGACTGACTCCTGACTCTACCTCTCAGCACCCGCGTTCCAGATGGCACAGCTCCTGTGCCAGATACAGACAAGGTATCATGGTTGTTGGGTTTTATCTACAGTACTGTATCTACAGTCCCTTCCAGAACAAGAGCATAGAACTAGAAGGCAGTTTTGACACAAGCTTCTTCTTCAGAATTCTATTTTGATTTGGTAGAATTAATTTGGTCACCTCTCTTTGGCAAATTCTCCATAATAAGAAAATAGTGCAGAGAAGGCACTTTGCTTTCAGGGACCTCAGAACCTGCTGGACATACCAGCTGGAGCTTCACACTAGGCAAAGGCAACAGAACTGCTTCCAGGCTTTGAACAATCATGGAAGAACTAGCAAACAGATTGCTTGCACACTTTAAAGGTGAAAGATGGAGGAAAGTAAGATTAACCAAAACTCTTAAAACTATTCTCCTACACATGCTAAATCTCTTTCTTTCTCCCTTACCATGCCCAAAACTCTTTTTATGTTCAGTAAGCTGTGACTATAGGTAATTTCCTGCCACCTGGGGAAAGGTACTATGAAAATTATGCCATCCTATTCATTCCTTGAAAGAAGGAATAAAGACACTGCAGTGATGGTAAAGCAATTTGCCAGCTGCCAGGTTTAAAAGATCCTCAATATATCCTCTGCAGTCTTTCAGAACAGTAAGCACAAAAAGACAGTTTTATTTGCTAGACAACTACTTAGAAACAGTCAAGAAAACTAATCTTGTTGAGACAAACCTTTGTATACATGCACGTGTGTGTGTGTATATATATATGGAATTACTTTGAAGAAAGTATTAAATTCAGAAGCTATGATAAAAATCCTTTTTATGTTATCTGCAAGAAAACGGAAAGAAATATTATTAAGTAACAAACTCAATATTCTGAAGTGATAGTTTTATTTTTTTGTTTAAGACAGGAAAAAAATGGGTATTTGTACATGCTGAAAGGAGCCTACTGACCTAGAGGAAGATTGCCAGTAGAATGAAGCAAAATGAAGAACAAGCTTTGAAGCTTCTATTTTTAATATTTTTTAATATTTTTTATATGCATTGTGCACCCATGGCCTTGTAACACAATATGAGTAAATATTTTAAACACAGTTGATAACCAGAAAAGCATAAAGGGACACAAGGTCTCCAGCACTAGGAAATGAAAGCTACATATACCAAAAATGCCAGGCTATACACTAAGGCCTCTCAGGAATTTCTGATACAAGGTGAAGTGGGAAGGACTTGTAGTTCATAAACCAAATAAGAGAAAGCTCTGAGTGTATCAGTGGGTCGTAGGATAACTATGTGCTGCCAAAGTGATGTCACTAATAAAGGCCTTCTTAGGATTACCATAAGAAATACGTCCAATAGACGTAGAGATGAATTAATGCCACTTTTCAAAGCTTAGAGTAATCTCATCTGTGTTGTCTAAACAATTCTAATTACTCCAGGCCATCCCAAACCGATGCTTTTTCCGCTTTATTGTTTTTAACTACATTTTTCTTAACTCTATTTCCAACATTTAACCATATTGATGTAGACGGTACATTATGTAATAATCTTCTGATTCTCTTCTTGATTCTTCTGTGTAATATTCATTGGCATCTGGTAAGAATATACAATATTATTGATTGTTGATTTACAGTGTTGCTATAGCCTATTTGCCTTTATCTGTTCCTTGTTGTGTTCTTTAGTGACTTGCAACTCTGTTTCACTATGTAAAAGTAACAGACGGCTAGGTTGAAAAAATGGAGCTGAATTCGGGGCCATTTATGCTAACACTATTTAATGTGGTTTTTTTTTTTTTTTTCAGTTAGGCATTGATGCACTAAAAAAAAAAAAAAAAAAAAGAAAAACCGCACCCCACATTCCAAGCTTTCAGCACCCTCTACAGGCTAACTGTTTTGATGCAACTAAACATAAAACAGTAAAACTGTCATCTGTGATAATCACAGCAGCACATTAACAATTATGGCATTTTGAGAAATGGTAAACATTTCTGAGACACAGGTAAACATGTAATTGCAGGCCACAAGGAATTAATTTCACTAACGAAAGAGAAAATAAGTAGCCAGTGATTATGACAGCCTTTTGAAGTGCTTCAAACAAGAAGTAGCAGAATCACTATTTTTATCCACTCGTATCAGCTAAATCCTTATAAGAAGTTAACTCCCATATACTTTTTAACATGGTGGTTCTCATTAAGAAAAGGTTTCATGCCATCAGCTACTCAGAAAACAAACAGAACATTTAGCTTACCATCCCTGTTGGACAGCAAACATACAAGGCCATTAAGGCACGTGTCAGTCACTTCGGTGATGTTAGTTGCGCATCTGCCTATAGCCTGAATCGTAGCTGCAGCAAACTGTTTATCTTGGCTTTTCACGTAAGTCTAAGGAAACAGGATTTTCATTAGTCAATACATAAGTCTTGTCAACCAAAGACTTACCATATTATTCTCATAAGACAGACACACTGTATAATATTCAATCTAGAAAGCTACATTGCACATGAGAATTTATACTTTTTTCACCTCACTGTCACTTTTCGAAGACATTTTCTTGACAGCTTTCATCACCCATGGCCATGCAAACCTCTGATTTCAAGTAAACTTGGGGAGGGGGCAATTATGCAAAAACAGCAATGAGTTTGTGTGCAAGGTTGGAGGAGTTGATGAGCTCTCTCTTCAGAGAGGTTTCAGTTCATTTAACCAGGAGCATCTGTGAAACTGTGAATAACCTACCTGCTTGAGAACCAGTACCTTTCAGAGAAATCCAGCCAGAGAACTGAAGCAATGAAAATAGATGTCATAAGCAAAAAGGAAGGAAAGAAGGACAGACACTGCTTCACACTGTAGGCAAAACAGCTTGCTCATACATATACAGATATTGGAGATAATACTACTTCATCAAATGACTTACAGAAATGAGGTTTGGCAATAAACGCTAATAGCCAAATATTCATAAAATTATGGCCCTACCATCTAGTGACCAGATGTCAAGTTAGTCAAGTTAGCAGAATTTGTTTTAAAGAATTTGGAATTATTGTGTTTATCCCATCACTTCTTTTTGTTGTTGGTAGCTGGAAGGAGAGTGATAAACAAAACATTGAAACTCCTTTCCATATAGGAAACACTCCATTACCCATTATGACAAGAGACAGTTTCACTCCCATTCTGAGAACACTTTATCCTGGAAAATACTTTTAACTTGAAAAATTTAAGACTAAGAATCTAGATGAAACATCCAATAATGGGAATTGGCCAGAGAGTGTTTCATAGAAAAAGAACACACTTCTGCACAAACCTGAAATTCTCGAAGCAGAGTTGATATGTTGGCTTCGTTCGCTAAATTTGTCAAGATTTCAAGCTACAAGGAAAAATACAGAGATTTTCATCAAAAGCTGAAGTAAAACATCACGAACAGTACCACATATACACTACACCTCTATTGTATATAAAAAAGAGATAATACTACTAAAAATACCACTTAGAATTCAATAGAGTATACCAGATTTCAGTATAAACTGGTAGCAGCATTGCACTCAGGAGGAATATTCACCTTGCAAGTACATGCAAGGTTTTCAAAGCAGGACTCTAGGGTTCAGTGATGCATTTTGTACACACTCTAGCTTTAGTGTTGCACTACATATCAAATGGGCTTGAAATACTTCTGGCAGCGTGGTTTCCAATGTTATACCACAGGCCTTAATGTGTAAGAACCATGTGATGCCGTAAGAAGAAATAACAGAAATCACGACAGCAGCTGGGGAGAAATAAAGTTGTCCATTATATTCAGATGAACTGCAATAAAAGACCTTTAAACTCAGGAAAAAGTTGCAGCTATGAGACTCCTCAGATCTTAATCAACATCAGACCCTGAAAGGCCTCTTCTTTGTTCCTGGTGAACAAGAGGATGATATACAAAACTTGGCATACATTGCTAAGATGCTTCTATGTCGTTTTAACTTTGAAGAGAGAATTTCAATACAATCTGAATGAGGTAATCTGAACAAAAAGACAACTCTGTCTCTGTAAAGGGAAGCCATACCTCAGAAATCTGTTGGTATTTTTGAGTTGCATGCACACAGACAAGGACACTTAGTTGATACAGTCTACCTGTACTTCAGAAGCAATTTGATAAGACCGGTCACCAAAGGCTCTTAAAGATACATATCCAGCATAGCATACAAAGCAAATGGATAAATGAAAGAGAGGAATAGGCAGGGAAAAAAGAGACCCTTTGTACAGGAAGGCTATCAGTGGAATCCCACAAATACCTTTGTTGGTCTTTCGCATTTCAACATATTCATATATGATATATAAAAGTAATAAGAAGACAGGTGACAAAGTTTTCATCTGATGCTACAGTTGTCATAGAAATGATGACAAAGGCTGACTAAGAAAAGCTGCATAAAAACTTCAAATATTAGGTGACTGGTTGATAAAATGGCAAAAAAAAATCAACACAGATAAATGTAAAGTAATGTTCATAGTTGGGGAAAGAACTTAACTTTAGAGAAAATAACAGGGTCTGAGATGATTACTAACTATAATTGAGATTTTGTGGTTAAAATTGGTAACTCCACGAAAACATAAGCTCAATGCTAAGCAGTGATCGAAAAACCAAACTTGCTGTGGGGAAAGAAGGAGAGAACAAAACAGAAATCTAAACAGTGCAGCAGATGAATTCCAGAGTGCTCCTACATCTTAAATACTGCCATAGGTCTCATTCTCCTATCTCAAAGGAGATAGGATGGAACTGTGAGGGTAAAGGGTGGAGAAAAGCACAGGATTTTCTTATGTATGTAACACTGTAGGTTGTCCTAAATTTTTCTGTCATGAAAAAATGAACTGTGACAATGAAAGGAAAAAACACAATTTCTACTTCTCTACCTCTTCACTGTTGTATTATAAATTAATATGGGAATTTAAATATATCAACAAATTATTTCAGGAGTGACTTTTCCTGGATAACACTGTATCTTAGTAGTATTCCCGACAGCTTTCATAATCATTAAATGTGGGGAAGATCTTTTTGCCTCCAAGTGCCTCATATTTACTTAGATTTAATGTTAGACTAATAAAAATATAATGGGTTGGGCATAGTTTTCTTGGACTCCACCACTCTGCACATGTAATGAGGGTGCAACATATACGTAAAATGAAAATAAGGAGAAAACAATGTTTCTTTTAAAAACCTGTACCTTTCACTCCTAAAGACAAGTGCCTATGGCAATCTAAAGCAAAGCAAGACAAAAGGCACATAATAGTAGACAATTTTTATGCTATTGTTTTGTCTTCTGTTAAAGACAAAGAACATAGAAAACAGGAACAACACAGCCTAAAACATGCACTGAGATGTGGCCTTGAGGAAAGTCTGAAGTACTTGTCATGTCAAAGGCTGACTTCAAAGGGAATTTGGGACTCTAACGCTGTCCCACTTTGTTCAGGGAAACAGATTTAAATTCCTTTTAAGGTAAAAGTATCAAAGACTGTGTGATTTAATTTCTCTTGATTTGAGAAGATTTTTCCTCCCATAAAAGCAGTCAAACTCTAAATGTTTGAATGGCTGGTTAGATAAAAATATTAACATTCTGTATCACTGAAAGGTACCAAAAGCTGTAATGCAAAATATAGCCTATCTGCCACCTACTACGTGGTAATAAGAGAACTTTCAGATAGCCTGACAAGCCTGAAGGACACTCACAGACTTAACTAAAAGCCACAACTCTACACTTCTTAGTGAAAAAAGGAACAGCACAGAATGATGTGTGTCGCATCAGAGCAAGAAAGTTGTACCTTCCTCTTGCAAACAGATTTGTCCAGCAGTATATAGATGAATTAACTTTTAAACTCACCTTCAGTGTTTTGATCATTGTTGGATCAGTTGACCTAACATAGAAACTCTTCAGATAAGGTTCAAACATGCCCTGAAAAGCAGAACATACTTAAGTAGCTTGCCTGTATTTCACTTAAAATGTGATTTAGAAAATTCTAAATAGTGTATACCTTTCTCTGAATTGACATAGTGGCAATATTCTGCAGAACAATATACTGCACCTCCCTAGAATTTGAAAAGAAAATCAAGAGTTACTCTGCAAAATTACAGACATATAGAATAATGCAACATGGCAAAGAAAGTCTATTTGAATCCAAAGTTAGTTATACATCTGTCTTGGCGCAAACATAGAAGGAAAAAGCTTACTGCCAACTGCTACAAGTTTATCATCTTCACTGGAAGATGCATAATGAAATCAGGCTCTTTTTTCTTTTTTTCTTTTTTTTTTTTTTCTCCCCAGAACAGAAATTCACAATTTTTTTTCTGATTTTCTTTTCCCCAGAAATTTTAATATGCAAAAAAATCACTGACACCAGTGCAATGGCGCAATGCTGCTTGTAGGCCTTTGGTCTTTGATTAAACAAAAAATTCATTTAAAACATCACCATTCTGGCATGTCTAAAAGTAGCTCACAAAAATCCTACACTTTGTCCACCATGTTGAATTTGAAATATTTCAGGATGACGCAGATGAGAACAAAAACACATGGGCTTTCTCAACAGTGTGGAAATGACAGCATTAGTTACAGAACAATTAATTGTTCTAGCAAAAATTGCTATGACTTTTTTGGTCTTAAAAAAAAATCCCTAATAATTCTCAAAAAGGGCCAGCGTCTCCTGTCACTTAAAAGTATACATTGGCAAGCATATACACCTATCAAAAAGCAGCACTTTAACATAATAGGCTTTGTCAAGATATAGACAACAATTATGTAACATTCTAAACACAGAAACATTAACCATGTTTGGAGGATATTCTCATCATTAATGTATTAGTTTAAAAGCCTCAGCAGGAGCGAGCGAAACGAAATCCGGGTACTAGGCTAAAGCTTTTAAATCACAGAGTTTCTGTCACCAATTGCTTAAAAACTAAGTAATAATTTCCATTATTATTTCCGTATTTCTGAACCATGAATGCTCAAATTCTTCCATGATGCAAATCGCATCCTTATAGAGAAATCATCACATCCATTATCTCCTCTTATTCAAAACTGTCTAGTAGCCCTGTGGTAATTACAGCTCTTGCTTACAAAGAAAAGTAATAACAGTAAGTACTTAGTATCTTTTAAACCTATTTTTATGTAATTCTTACATAGGTACATGGAAATAGTCAGCTGCACATGATGAACCAAGACTAGAAATTGCTATGAAATGCTATTCCAGGCTCTTTCACCCTAACTAGATTATAGCATATTTGACATTAATTTAAAGGCCATAGGCACATAACTTCAAGGGCAAACAGCAAAAGCTTACTTCAAAGTGGCTGTAATAGCAAAAGTGTCATACAGACTGGTAACAGAGAACAGACAAGCCATTCAACATAGAAAAATCAGAACACTAGCACCATTTCAGGCACTACCTGAGGTACAGGAAAGATACGACTTCTCTTTTGATGAAATTTAAGTATAAATGAACAATAAACAACACGCAAAAATAATCCTCTCAACCTGTGAGTATGCGTTTAGTTCTATATGTTACATGTATATATGCCAAGCTGCTTTAGCCACTTATCTTTGTATAAAGAGAATGGGAAGTATTTTGTAGTATAAAACCGAACACAAAAATAACAGTGATTCATTTTTATCTGAAATAAAAGCATGAATACTCTACCAAGTCCAATTTTACTCTATAACTTTCAAGTAATAGAGACATTAGCCATGGGTGAGCTGTAGAAGTTTACAGAGAAGGAGCTCTATGATGACTGGGCTTACAAAAGTTAAAACCCATCTAAGATGAGTAATCTTGACAGACACAACAAAAGTGTGGGTTTTTTTTAAAATGCTTTTTGTCTGTTTGATGTGACCAACATGAAATAATAATAGTTTTTACAGCAAAGTTCTAGCCAAAAATACCATGTTTAGTTAGAAAGTTATTCTGAAAACATTTTAATATTGTGTCTTCTATCACCCCTTCAAGGCTTTTCATACAGGTACATACATGGAAGTTCAAAATCTAAAAACTGAGGGGAAAAGCCTCCCCTTCTATACAGCAAATATTGGAGCAATATGCCAAAACCACCAAACAGTAAGAAAAAAAAGAATATTATCAACCTTATGAAACATGTGGCCAGTGAGACCCTTCATAGGAAAATACACAAAGTCATACTGAAGATGATAAAAGTCAAAATTAGGTATCCTGAGTGAAATAAACTTATTCTTTAAAAACATCCCAAGGATTAAGGAAACATACGGGATTCAGCAGCATCAAGTGGTATTTTAACAAATATGTTCCTTAGTTTCTCTGTCAACAAGAAGTCTTCAATAGAAAGTGAAGGAAAAGAAAATACGCATCTGAAAACATTCTTTAGTGCCTAGCAAGACCGTAAGGAACTCCAATATAATTAAATTTCCAATAACTTCCAATAATTTAAAAAAAATCAAGAAACTAAGCAAACTAGTTAGTAATGCCTCTATTTGTATGCTAACGGCAGCCATGAATCTTCTCAGAATGAAAGTCATAATTAAGAATGAAACACTTACAATACTGAATGATCACGGGATGTGATACTGAAAATGATGGCATTACTTTTAATGGACCTCATTTGTTGAGTACAAATTAGTATTACAGGACAATTTTAAAATGAAACTCTGATAATATTATATTCTTATAACTATGGCTAAATAAGTATGTACGAAACACTCTCGCAAAAATAGTAGACACAGCAATGTAAAGTATGGACTTCACCTACCTATTACTATGTAGTAAACGCACCAATGACTTAGAAACAATACCAGCTTCAGATTTTGGTGCCAAATGCCAGTAAAGCTGTGCAACTGCCATTACCACCTAAAAGAAGAACATTCAGAACAGCATGTTAACTTCAAATTGTCATACATATCTACCACGTTTGCTTCAGACCTGCAGAACTACCAACTCACTCTTCTTCAGAAAGCAAAGTGCATAACAACATTTTTTGAAATCAACAAAGCAGACTGGGGGAAAAACATCCCAAGAAAAGTATTTTCATTTCTAAAATCAAAGCTAATTAAATACTTGTCATCCCTCCCAGTATTTATTGTATACTATAATATATAGAAAGACAGAGGAAGAGGGACAAAGAGAGAAAAATGCACATAATTCAAACTGTAAACAGACTGGTATCATCCTTAACAAATCTGTATTGCTAACATCACCTGTACAAATTAATGATGAAATACTGTTTAAAATTCTACAAATGTTGTGCTTTTATTTTTACTAAATACAGGTTCAATATTACCTATTATTTAGTTTCCACTTAAAATCTTTCATTCCATTATTCTATTGGGCAATTTATAAAATGACAGCTGCCTTTGCTGGCAACTTCTGAAGTCTTAAATCCAGCAGAAAGTAAAAACTACAGGGTTGTATACCAACATTCTGGCTAGCAAAAAGCAGAAGACTGAGATATAAGCAACTTAAATCCCTCCCCCTTTTTTTTTTCATTTTTTTCCGTAAGTAAAAGACAAATCATTAACTTTATGCCAACGAATAAGTCATGTCACAAACTTCCCTACAATACTGCCATGGTCAGCTTTCTGCTCAAAACAAAACAAACCATAGAAAGGAGACTCCAAGTAAGGCCATCATAACGACACTTGACTTGGTATCTTAAATCTTAGTACCAATAAAACAAAAATTATTATTAAACAATAAAAAGTGATTAAAAACATCTGAAAAGAGGAAATAACTGGAAGATCACTCTTAAATCTTTTAAATTTTCTAGAAGCATACATATTTAGTAGTTTAACATTTTACATTTTAATCAAAAAGGAATTTGTCATACAGCGGCATTTCGGCTTTGAAGCAAGGGCTTTGTATTTCGTAACAGTAGCCTGTGATCTGGGTCCATAGTATAGGTGGCTTTCACTTTTCGATCCTTTTCTTTCTGTTCTTCATCAGATTCATAGAAATTATTTTCACTATATTCTTCTACCACTTCATCATCCTACCAGAAGACAAAATGACAAAAACATACACAGGATATTTGAATCAACCAGTTTCATTCATTAAGGAAGTAACATGAAAACCCACAATTTCATGCAAGATTTATACACTCTCTAAAAACTAGCTATTGGCTCTTCTACCCCAGTTCGGTCAAAGCAGTAGATGTACTGACACAAAAAATAGGTTCATAACATACTCAAAATTTCCTAAGAAATAAGACAAAGCACTAAATGAAATATCTTCATTAATATTCTATAAACTGAAAATATGAATGTTGGTCTTTTTTGGACTTAGAGCCTATGTTCCAAAATTAACATTTCTGAAAATGTTGTTTAAAATTCCCTCTTTTTTTTGAAAACTTAATGAAAATCATGTGCATTCTTCCCTCTCTAGCAATATATAAATTACCTGTCCTTCAAAAAAAGAACATGTTTTTTTTTCCTTAAGAAATTAGATGCAAAAAGGTTACATATCCTAAGCCTGGCCTTCTCTGATGAAGTACAAATCCTTGAGCTGTTTAAATAAAGTTTCATCTGTTTAAATGAAGTTATGAATTATCAGCATAATGTCACTTAAAAAACCAACACAACACATTGAAATAATTCATTAAAGCTTGAGATATTAGGAAATTAGGTCTTTCTTTTACTCCAGAAGACTAAACAAAAGAATATAAAGGAATATATCTGATTATGTAAACATGATAAATTAAAACAAATCTTAAGATTTCGGATGTGGATCAAAAAATAAGTAAAGAATAGATTTAGAGTGTTTCATTATTCTTATATTTAGTTAGCATAAGGAGTTCACAAACTTAAAGAAAATTAAGATGGAAACCATCAGGATTAGATCAAAACAGAATGTCAGATCGCAGAAGCTGTGGTCTGAATTATCAATATTGAAAGAACTCAACATTACAAAACTTTTTTTAAAAAAAAAGCTACTGACTTCTCAACTTGTTATACCCAAGTGTGTGTCCTTGCTCTCCTAAAATTCCTCCATCTCACCTTGTCACCAGAACACCCAACTAAGAAAAAGAGCATTACTGTGGCTAGCTGGAGCTATTCACATTACAATGGGCTGGCTGGTACCAAACACCAACTTTACCAATAGCTCTGTTTGTCTTTCTCTCAAGTCTCTGTACAACTATTCTAAGGAAAAACCATTGTGTAGAGTTGGATATAAGATGATTATTTAAGATTTTTTAAAAGACATAATTGCTTTTGAGACAAATATAAGTTTTCAATTCTAGCTGTCAGTAGCAAAGGAATCAAAAGTGAATGGAAGAATGACTAAAAATGAAAATACAGACTAATTTAATAGGTCTTCAGAAAACTAGGCAAAGGTAACTTCAAACATTTGTTGCATGCCTTGGTCAAAACTCAGGTTAGTGAAAGAGCCCATAAAAGTGTCTTCATGTAGAGGCAGGGATGCAAGGGAGGGAGAGAAGAAATAACAATAAATCAAAGTTGTAATTTTATTATAGTTTTTTATTACAATTTGAAAGGACATTGAAAATAAAACTTTCCCTCACATTTCTTCTCATTTTTATTACTTGATGCCAACAGTGCCCTCTGTTTTACAGTATCCCTAGCAAGCTTTTAGATTTTTTATGCAACAGCAACTGCAGTGATTTAGCTTGTTTAGTTCTTTGTCTACACATCTTTGTGGCAGTCGCCCTTCTAAACTAAAAACTCAGCATGCTAAATCAAGAGTATTAGTAGGACTGCAGGACAGAGGAAACTTGAAAGCAAAATTCCTGAGCCCAGTGCATCCCAACCTTGCACTGAAGAAGCTTCCTCTAACAGAAGGAGGATAATTCAGTTATCTTTGATTCAGTCTTCATATCCCTGCCTTGACTGCTAACAGGCACGCACATCAGCACTGTTGAACTCCACAGGAATAGAGAGTTGGAAACTGTATTTAACTCATTAATCACTGTTAGAAAGAAACAGCTTGAGCTCTCACATTTCTGACTTTTTTTTTTTAATTGTTGGTTACAATCATACTTGGAGCAGACTTCCAAATAATTATAAAGGAACTTATTCCTCTTATGAAAACATTTTTAATTTGAATCCCATTAGAGTCTTTGTATTGAATCACTTTCTTCATACCCACACAGCAGAAATATTAATGTGTTTTTTTCTCATAATCATGTATTTTACTGCAATCTTAGAATATTCCTCTTCTCTCAAATCTGTTGAGATCTGGTATGAAATAACTATGTTCCAGACAAAGGATGATGACGACACACAGGGAAGTAAGTTTAATGAACTGAAATTCATTAAAACCAAGTTGATGAAATCCAAAATTATGTCAGAATTTGTAGTCACATGGACCCTACTAAGACAAAGAGAATACGTAATACTTGCACATTACCATGGAAAGGAAAGCAAGGTATTACGTAAAAGAGCCAGGAGATTGATAGATAAAAACCAGCAGGCTTCTTGGTGTGCAAGAATTGTTGTTTCTAATTCTGTTAATCATCCCAGATATGAACAGCAGTTGCCAGGAAACATGAAAACATTCAACCACCCGCAACACCTTAAGCCTCAACTTAAACTGCTGACTATACTCACTGCCAAAGAGACAACTGTACATTTGGATTCATAGAATCATTTGGGTTGGAAAAGATTCTTAAGATCAAGTCCAACCATTTAGTTAACACTGCCAATTCCACACTAAACCATGTGCCTAAGCACCATATCTACACTTCTTTTAAATACCTCCAGGGATGGGTGACTTGACTACTTCCCTGGGCAGCCTCTTCCAATGCTTGACAACCCTTTTGGTGAAGAAATTTTTCCCAATATCCAACCTAAACGTCCCCGACACAACTTGAGGCTGTTTCCTCTCATCCTATCAATTGACACCCACCTCGTTACAACCTCCTTTCAGGTAGTTGTTGAGAGCTATAAGGTCTCCCCTCAGCCTCCTCTTCTCCAGACTAAACAACCCCAGTTGCCTCAGCCGCTCCTCATAAGACGTGTCCTCGAGACCCTTTACCAGCTTTGTTGCTCTTCTCTCAACATGCTCCAGCAACTCAGTCTGTCTTGTAGTGAGGGGCCCAAAACTGAACACAGCATTCGAGGTTCAGTCTCACCAGTATCAAGTAAAAAGTGACAATCACGTCCCTACTCCTGCTGGCCACACTAGTTCTGATACAGGCCAGGACGCTGTTGGCCTTCTTGGCCACCTGGGCACACTGATGGCTCATGTACAGCAGACTGTCAACCAGCACTCCCAGGTCCTTTTCCGCCAGGCAGCTCTCCAGCCACTCCTCCCCAAGCCTGTTGCATGGAGTTGTTGTGACCAAAGTGCAGGAACCGGCACTTGGCCTTGTTGAACCTCATACAACTGGCCTCAGACCATCAATCCAGCCTGTCCAGATTCCTCTGCAGAGCCTTCCTGCCCTCAAGCAGATCAACACTCCCACCCAACTTGGCGTCATCTGCAAACTTACTGAGGGAGCACTCAATCCCCTCATCCAGGTCACTAATAAACATTAAACAGAACTGATCCCAATACTGAGCCCTGGACTCCATTCACCACAACTCTTTGGTCCTGGCCATCCAGTTAGTTTTTAACTCAAAAAGTATGCCCATCCAAGACCATGAGCAGCCAGTTTCTCCAGGAGAATGCTGTGGGAAACAGTGCCAAAGGCTTTACTAAAGTCCAGGTAGACAAAATCCACAGCCTTTCCCTCATCCACTAAATGGGTCATCTCGTCATAGAAGGAGATCAGGTTAGTCAAGCAGGAATAAACCCATGCTGACTGGGCCAAATCACTTGGTTGTCCTGTATGTGTCGTGTGATGGCACAGGATGACTTTCTCTATAACCTGCCCTGGCACCAAGGTCAGACTGACAGGCCTGTAGTTCCACAGATCCTCCTTCTGGCCCTTACTGTAGATGGGCATCACACTTGCAAGCCTCCAGTCGTCTGGGACCTCTCCTATTAACCAGGACTGCTGTATAGTGATGGAAAGTGGCTCAGTGAGCACTTCCGCCAGCTCCCTTAGTACCCTTGGGTGGATCCCATCCATTCCCATAGAAATATGTGCGTCTAAGTGGTATAGCAGGTTGCTAACCATTTCCCCTTGGACTATGGGGGCTTCATGCTGCTCCCTGTTGCTGTCTTCCAGTGCAGGGGGCTGGGTACCCTTAGAACAACTGGTCTTACCATTAAAGACTGAGGCAAAGAAGGCATTAGGTACCTCAGCCTCCTCTTCATCATTTGTCACTATATTTTGCCCCGCATCCAATAAAGGATGGAGATTCACCTTAGCTGTCCCTTTTTTGCTAATCTATTTATAAAAACATTTTTACTGTCTTTTATAGCAGTAGTCAGACTAAGTTCTAGCTGGGCTTTGGCCCTTCTAATTTCCACCCTGCATAACCTCATGACATACTTGTACTCTTCCTGAGTTGCCTGCTCCTCCTTTCAAAGGTCATAAACTCTTTTTTTTTCCCTGAGTTCCAGCCAAAAATGTCTGTTCAGCCAGGTCAGTCTTCTTCCCTGCCAGCTCATCTTTTGGCACGAGGACAGCCTGCTCCTGTACCTTTAAGATGTCCTTCTTGAAGAATGCCCAGCCTTCCTGGAGTCTTTTGCCTTTCTGGACTTTGTACCAAGGGACTCTGTCAATCAGGCTCCTATACAGGCCAAAATCTACCCTCTAGAAGTCCAAGGTAGAAGTTCTGCTGACCCCTCTCCTTACTTCTCCAAGAATCAAAAACTCTTATAATTTTGTGATTGCTATGCCCAAGACAGCCTCCCCTCATCACATCACCTACAAGTCCTCCTCTGTTCACAAACAACAGGTCCAGTTGGGCACCTTCCCTAGTTGGCTTACCATGTCAGGAAGTTATCTTCCACACACTCTAGGAAGTGCCTAGACTATCTCCTCTCCACTGTATTTTACTTCCAGCAGACACCTGGTAAGTTGAACTCCCCCATGACAAAAAAGGCTAGTGATCATGAGTCTTCTTCCAGCTACTTATGGAG